GCTAGGGGACTGTCTAGGGCGGGGGGAAAAAATGGACACATATGTAATACCCTTTGTAATAAAAAATAAAATTAAAAAGAAAATAGTGTTTGTCCACTTGTCCACTCTCTACTTGTCATGAACACAGATGTAGGAATGCCACCTCTACCTTTGCTCTTACGATGCTCCCTGCCAGAATATTTGTTGTTTGTCTATGTTTATCTTAATTTGTTTCTTCCTCAAAGTCCTATTCAAGTCTCACCTACTCCATTTAGTTTTCCTAAAGACTTTTCAACTATGGTCAACTCTCTCTTATTTGAACTCCAGTAGCAATTGCTTTCCTATAACTCATTTAAGCACAGCCTACTCTACAGGGCTAGTGTATTTTAATGCATGTACTCTACCTATTGATGTCAGGGACTGTGTCAGATTTTTATGTACTCAACCACATACTTCAGTGCCTTATACATAATACTTGCTAAATAAATGTTTGTTGATGTTATTGCTGTCATTTCTGCCATTATTACTGGTGGTGGTGGTAGTGGTAATCATTATTTTTTTAAATTTCTTTATTGATTAAGTTATTACGTATGTGTCTTTATCCCTACATTACCCCCCAGCACCCCCACACATGCCCTCACCCCCCCCCCTTGTTGTCTGTGTCCATTGGTTAGGCCAATATGCTTGCATATAAGCAAGTCCTTTGGTTGATCTCTCCCCATTACCTCCACCCTCCCCTACCTTCCCTGTGATGTTTGATGGTCAATGCTCTCCAGTTCCATCCATGCTGTGGCGAATGGAAAGAACTCCTTTTTTACAGCAGCGTAGTATTCCATTGTGTAGATGTACCACTGGTTTTTAATCCACTCATCTACTGATGGACACTAAGGCTCTTTCCAAATCTTAGCTATGGTCAATTGTGCTGCTATGAACATAGGGGTGCATATATCCTTTCAGATTGGTGTTTCTAGTTTCTTGGGATATATTCCTAGAAGTGGGATCACTGGGTAAATGGGAGTTCCATTTTTAGTTTTTTTGAGGAAACTCCATACTGTTCTCCACAGTGGCTGCACCAGTCTGCATTCCCACCAGCAGTGCATGAGGGTTCCTTTCTCTCCACATCCTCACCAGCACTTGTCATTTGTTGATTTGTTGATGATAGTCATTCTGACAGGTATGAGATGGTACCGCATTGTCATTTTGATTTGCATTTCTCAGATGATTAGTGACTTTGAGCATGTTTTCATATGTCTCTTGGACTTTCTTCTGACTTCTTTCAAAAAGTATCTATTTAGATCTATTGCCCATTTTTTAATTGGATTTTTGTCTTCCTTTTGTCAAGTTGTATGAGTTCCCTGTAAATGTTGGAGATTAAACCCTTATTGGTGATAACATTTGCAAATATGTATCATTACTTTTTAAACCTTCATATGAGAATAATTGTCAGGATCTCAAATTTCTTCTTTGAGATGACCTTGGACCTAAAGACTTAAAGGTGAGTTAGAGAGTATTGACTCATAAAACTGAAAATTCAACTTCTCCATGGTCTTGGTAGTCTACTCTATGTTTCCATATACCTTAGGTTTGCCAGTCAACATGGTTTAAAACTTACAAGCAAACACATACAAAAACAACCAAATGAAAGCCTCTTTTCAAAATTTTTCATTAGCTTTATACTCCTTAGAGAACAAGTTACAAATGTCTTATATAGCATAGAGGTTTACAATCTGCCTTAAAATCCAGAACCAAATTTTTTTGTCATTATTTTGATAAATAGGTAGATAGATAGATAGGTAGATAGAAATATATATTCTACTTTAGTTAAAATAGTCTAATTTTAAACAGCTTTGGAACCATTTCTCCTCTCTATTTCCATTAAATTAACATCACTGGAGCCTAAAAGGATTTATCCTACTTAAAGTTCTTCTATGACCAAAAAGTATGACCCAAGAATCTATTCTCTTCTCCATTATGTTGTACTGAATTTCAAAATCCTCTCTTGCCCATATATTTAAAGGTCTCTTTTATCATATAATAAATTGCATTTTATATATTGAAAAATAGTGGTACTTGGGCTGTGTATGGATTTTACATACACATTTACATACACTGAGTCGCCAGATTATTATGACCACCTGATGTTTGTAGGCAAATGAGCCGTACACTGCATCGTATGGATATGGAAGCCGAAGGCCTGTTTGAACACCTTTGCAGTCTGCAGTCACCAAGATAAAACGTCTCCAATTCGCACAGGAACACAAGGATTAGACAGTCGAGCATTGGAAAAAAGTCATATGATCTGAAGAATCACGTTTCCAGTTGCATCATGCAGATGGCAGAGAATTTGGTGGAAACAGCGTGAAAGCATGCACCCCACATGCATGAGTACCACCCTTCAAGTTGGTGGAGGCAGTGTTATGGTTTGGGGCATGTTTTCCTGGCATAATTTGGGCCCTTTAATTCGTGTGGAACAACGTCTGAATAGCACAACATACCTAAGTATCATTGCTGATCAAGTTTATCCTATCAAGTTGATCGTGTATCCCAATGGAGATGGCTTCTTCCAACAAGACAATGCACCATGCCACGGTGCTCGTATTGTGCAGGAGTGGTTTCAAGAACATGAGGGAGACTTTACCTTGCTTAGGTGGCCCCCACAATCACCAGATCTCAATCTAATTGAGCATTTGTGGGAAGAAGTTAAAAGAGCCATCAGGCAGCTGGTTCCGCAACCATGAAATCTCACAGAACTGGACAGTGCTATTCATCAGGCACGGTGTCAGATTCC